TTAGGCTCTCGGGGCGCTATCTCCTTGGTGTCCCCACTTCACAGGGTGTCGGTGAGGATGAAGAGAGGGGGGCAGCATGTGAGTCCTGCACAGCCAGCCCTCCCGAGTCAGCTGCTCGCTCACTCACGGCTCACCAGAGTCACGCAGATCCGCCTTCCTTACCGGGGTCAGGGCTCCACCTGCCTTCAGAGGTCTAGAAATGACGGCTGACACTAATTTACACTTTCACCAACTCTCCAGATTATCTTCTCTTTAACTGGTCATAATACTTTCAAGAACTCTCCCAGCCTCCTTCTCAAATGCAGACGGCCATCAATCACTGTGACACAATCCCATCTGCTAATTACAAGTTTAGCTCCAAGGACAGTCATTTTTAATGTTAGTATCTTAACCCCTCTTCATATTTCAAAACCATTTCCAAAAATGCATCCTGGTTAGAAATCTTAGCAATGAGATGATCCATCCCAAAGTGTGCTCCTTTCCTGACAGATAGTTAAAACCAGGAGTCCTGGGGGTCAAGGGAATCTCTCGAGCACAGGCAACTCTTAATTAAAGCAAACACTCGCCAGCATGGGCTCAGACTTTTCCCTGAGCCAGTCCACCTGCAGGTTTTGTGAAAAGCTTTTCGACTTACTGGTCAGACCTAAAATCTAGGATAATTCCTAGTCCTGTAAGTAGACAATTTACAGTGACAATTTCTCATGATCACGATGCCCTTATTTCATTTAGAAATGCCACAAATACATCCAGTTAATGCATTAAATATGAAAAGACTGGCTGAAGAGACTCCATTTATTAATGATTCAAGAGAACTTCCTAAAGCATCTATTTGGGATTCATTTATAATTCACTTTACAGCTTAGCTCTGGTTCCCACAGGGCAAATGTTTATCAAGTATTACTGTGTTTTAAGTCCTAGCTTTACATTTCCTTGTAGAAGAATACAGTGCTCACCCTTCTCCAGATGAAGGCTAAACTGTCTAAAAGCATCCTTCCATCTGTCTGTTGTAATTTAATGTGCATTTCCTGATAGGATGACAGTAATCGGCTTTCAGACATAACTGAGTACTCTGTACAGCCAAACAAAAGAATAATTATTAAGCATAATAGCTGGCCATAAGTTGAGCAAGAGACAAGGACTATGTCATAAGTATTTACTAGAGAGTAACCATGGTAATTAATAAACACAGTAATCAGCACAAGGGGAAAATGGCATCACAACATCCTGCTGTGGTGAGAGCAACTTCATAATTTGTCTACCAGAGAACCAACATGACCAAATAAATATTTTCAGAATGAAGCTCAGACCGTCCAGCCTGACTAGTGAAGATCAATGACAGCAAGAGAGTAGAGTATGGGGAACCAGGCTGTGCACTGCCTCACCGTGCAGCACTGACCACTGCGCCCTCCACACCCAGGAGCTTGTGGCAGCTGCTGGATAACTGCTGGAGTACAGGGAGCACTGGCTTTGGAGTTGGAAACATCTAACAATTCGAAACCCTGGCCAAATGACTTAGTTCTCCCTGTCAACTCTCCAGCAGAGGGAACACCTTCCTAAAAGAGTTGTTGTGAAGATAACAGTGTGATAAATAACATAGCCAAATGCCTAGAACAAAGCACATGCTCTGTGATGGGTGTTCTGCTCTACTATTACCGTTTCTATCAGTCCCGGTACCTACACCTAAAGGTGGAATACTGTTACCCCATTTAGTACTGCAACCACTGAGCCACAACTACTTTATCCCACCTCTCCTGGCCAAAACATCATTAGTTGCCATTAAAAACAATCATAATTCATATTTTTAGACTAAAAGAACATAAGGCACACTAAGGTAGAAAGATAAAACATTAAAAATAGACAATAACAAATGTTGGTGAAGATGTGGAGAAACTGGAACCCTCATATACTGAATGTGTGAATGTACAATGGTGCAGCCACCTCAGGAAACATTTTCATAATTTTTTCAAATGGTTAAATACATGACCCAGCAATTCCACTCCTAAGTACATATCCAAGAGAAATGAAAGAGTATACACACATAAAAATGTACATTAATAATAAATATTCATAGGAGTGCTATTTAAAATAGCTAAACAAAGGGGAAATGATAAACAATCCAAATGTTTATCATCTAATAAGTGGATAGGGAAAATATGGAATTGGGCATTCTTTGCAGATACAGGATAAGGATTGAAGTATTATACAAATGACAACATGGATGAACCTTGAAAACGTTACACCGCATGCAGTAAGATGTTACCAAAGGCCACAGGTAATAGGATTCTGTTTATGTGAAATGCCCAGAGCAGGCAACTCTGAGAGACAGGAGGCAAAGTACCGACAGCTGAGGCTGTGTTAGGAGAAGAGAGGGTAGGATGGTAGGTGACTCCTAATGTGGGTCAGGTTTCTCTCTGGGGATGATGAAAATATCCCAGACTTAGTGGTAATGGCGTACAACTCTGAATCTAATCAAATCATGGAGTTTCATGGTTTGTGAATTATACACTGAAAAGCTAGTGTAAGAATAGAACTAAAGCTGTGAGGACAGCTACAGAGGTGGGAGGCGACAGGAAGGAATGAAGTCAGTGTCTGGGGCCTGCTGCGCCCTGCGGGGCAGAACAGGAGGCGTGGCCCTGAGCGCAGGTGGTGGCGTAGAACCCGACCCGTGCGGGTCTCTGCTTCCACCACACCATCTGCCCTTGCACTCTGAAGTGGGTTATTCGGGTAAAATTAGAGCACAAAAGTAAGCAGGAGTAGGAAGGCTGCAACTCTAGAGCCTAAAACCTCTAAAGGATGAGGTTTGGACCCTGCTCCCCTATGTACCAGCTTGTGACCTTGGACCAAGCACTTGATCTCCCTGGGCTTCAGTTTCTTCATCTATAAAATGGGTACAAGGCCGGTACCTCCTCTCTCATGGTGTGATGGGGTACATTACTGCACACAAAGCATGTACACTGGTGTCCAGTGAAGACAAAGTGCCACCCTCACTGCTGCCATGGTTACTAAAGTGGCCCTTCTTTTTAAGGCAGTCAGACAGGCACGTGGCTGTCTCAGAGACTCACGTGGACCTTCCCAAGGGGAGCTCCTGGGGACAGTCCTGACGCTTCTGCTCTACCTGATCCTAACCCTAACCCTGTGACCTGCCAGCAGGACCCTCAGTAGTACAGAAGTAAAGATGAGGGACAGGGAAGGGCCATGGAATTTTACCAGGAAAGGACAGCAAGAGGCCGGGCTGAGCACAAAGCCTGACACCTTCGTGTACATTAGTCCAAGGCTGGTGAGATTCTGATCATCTAAATGCTTGCGGTAAGAATTAATCTCACATTTTGTAGGGCACCATTTCACAGTTAGACAGAGTGCCGCTTACATATCTGAATTTATCCTTACGTTCCCAACGTGACTTCCGTTTCACCCACAACCACAGGGATAACTACAATGTTTCTAGTCCTTTCAGTGGTACCACATTTTCAACCTTGTTCTTCTAATAGAGAACAAAGCAATTGCTATAAAAGAAATGAGAAGATTTATGAAATATTTGTTTGAGAGGATCAGCTAATTGCTTAGAGATTTTAAAAAAATCAAGGAGTTATAGTTTTTCAAATGATATTTCAAGGTTATAGGTTAAACCAATACGTTCACACACTAAACTCACAACAAATGATCCTTTGGATACTAGGAAATATGTCTTAAGAATATCAAAAAAAGCCTGTCATTTAAAAGTCTAGGTAAAATTTTATGTGTTATTAAAATGAGATTTTCCTACAAAGGCAGCAATTTTAAAGTGAAAGTTATTGATAAAATATAACTGAATTTACAAATAAATAAGAATAAACCATGAAAAGCTGCTGACAAATGAGAACTTAAGCAATATCCTTTTAAATTTGAAGTGAAACATTAAGAACAAGGAAGAAAACAGCTACCCAACACCATTATTATTCTCATTTGCCTGAAGAATGAAGGTCATTGCCAATATATGCTCTTGATAATCCACGGCCAGGCCAGACACACATCTCTAAATTTTAACAGAAAACATGTACTCATTTTCCCCATAAAATGAATTAGATATTGTTTTCAAATTAAGGATAGAGCAAGTGAAATTTCTTTTCAATTATATCAAGCAGTAGATCAAACAGATACAACTTCCAGTATAGCACCTATTAGAATTAGTTGACTTCAAATTCTTTATCATTATGAAAATAAACTGTGCTCAGGAGAAAATCATTTTTGAACTGTCATATGCTGTAAAAGATTTAATGAATTCCATAGAAGCTTTCAGCTCTCCATATAAAAACATAAAAAGTTCTCATTTTAGGGAAATTTCATTTTGAAGATGTGTATATTTAAAATGCCATCAACAAGGATAATATAGAAATCCAAGTGCTCACCAAATCTGTAATTCAAAACCTAACCTCTTCTTTTATCTACAGTGGCTAAAGTATTTTTAAAGTTTTTGTACCTGACCAAGAAAAAAGCAGACTATAAAGACTCAATTGTTCTTAGCAAGGTGCTTAATAGCAACTTGAAGAAAAATCTGAGAATGCTAAAAAAGAGGCCAAAAAAAGAAGAAAAGATAAAAGGAAGACCTAACAGTGCAAGTCTAAACAGCAAATCCAAACAAATGTAGTAGAATCTCCACTCCAAGTCAGGTGTGTCTGATTCAAAGATTTTTCCACTTCTCACGCAGAGAAGCTGGGAGATTCACTACCCAGACATGCAAGGAGAGAGGCCAGGCAGAGAATCCCTCTTCTCCTGCATCAAGAACTCGGAGCCTCTGAGCCAACCTCGTGTGGGCTCTGCTGCCTCCTGCATTAGGGACCCTTTTAGTCCTAGTCTCACCTTGGTCAAGGTCAGTCTTCAAGGTCAGATCCAGAATGCTTTTTCTGCCCCCAAAACTGTTATGCAAGTTCATTCAAAATCAAGGAGGGTAAAGGGAATGGCAGGATGAGAGAAAGCAGAAGCTATGTGGGGAACAGCATCACCATAACAATTTAAAACAAGTACCTTTACTCTTTGGTCACCGGCATCTATGACTGTAGCAACATCAATTAACTGGGGATTCCGTTGACTCGCAGCTTCAAATTTCATATTTGGCAGAAAGCCATGACGCAACTTCTGAAACATTCCAAATGCCATGGGTCATGCAATATTCAGTACTTTGGATTTTCTACTAATTTTTTCCCCAGAATATTGTCACTACAGCATATAGACCTTTAACAAAACTGGGATTTAGATTTAAGTGGACATTAGATTTTATGAATAATTTTTAATTCAATTTCTCAAAAACCTAAGGAGAAAGATCTTTTCAGCCATTTTAAAGATGGCTAAAAAGATAAAACACCAGATTAAATTATAAATCTATTAATGAACATGTCAAGGTTCAAAAGGTATTTAATTATAGTTTATAAGGCAGTGTACATTTTTCCTTTTTTTTTTATATTTACTTTAGAAATGAAGACACTGTTGACTATTCTCATTGCCCAGTTTAGAATAACCTAGGAGGGAAAATTGCTAACTAAATAATTTAAAAAGATAAACTACATGCTTTCTGCATCTAAATCTTAAACAAAAGCTGCACAGTTTCAACTGTTCAGCTTCTAAGAAATCACGCCAGGACATAATTTAAAACCATAAGCTGTGCTCCTGTGACTTCCGTGTAACATTACAGGGTTGAACTGCACTGAAGCTCCTTTCAAATGTTAAAATGCAGGGAACTTGGAGTCAATAGCGACATTCATAGAAACAAGAAGAAAGTGGAATGGGAAAAGAAGACACTGGGGCCTACCAAATCATTGTATGTAAGGAAATTAACTATCACAGGTTGAGGTCAAAAGATAACCCTTACTGTCTGGATAGGCTGGAAGAAACTTTCACTTTGAAAGCTATTACACAAAAGTGTTCAATTGACTTTATGGGAAATGAAAGTCTACTGAATTTTCCAATTCCAGGAACAGAAAAATAAAATCTGCCAATACAAAGGCAATAAACAATCAAGTCTTGATGCAGCATCTGGTATCTTCCTCTCCAGCTTCTGTGGAAGCACATTTTCTTTCCAAAACGCATTTTTACATCTACTAAATGGAATACATTGATTCTAATCAAGTCTCTGATCCCAGAAAATCTTTCTGTTCTTCCCAAGGTCGTGGTCCTAAACCACGTCAGTATCAGTTTAGTATTGAAGATGCCAAAGCCACAAACAAGCAGACTCCAAGATGACCCTGTGACGGCACCCGGAAGTTGCCCTTTTAGAGAAATCTTTTCAACATTTTATTTACTCCTAAGTTTCCCCTTGGAAAAGTAAAATGAAGTTTTGAAAGAAGGCAAGAAAGGAGACTACCAGTCGCCGAGTAGTTTTGCTTATTCTGCAAGTCATGAAACCCTCTGCAGCACCTTAGCAGTTCAGCTTTCCAAGCCTCTGTGGACCTCCTCCCCTACATCCAGCCTATTACAACCTATTTTCTAAAAAACTGAAACCCTCTTTGAGTCCCAAGTTCAAAAAGTTTGTAAATGAAATCACGGGGAGGAGTATGTATATTTCTGACTAAAGACATGTCAGGAAGCCTAGAGCACACAATTAGAATCAGAAGGGAGCAGAGTTCAAACATCACCAGTTTAAGCCTAACTATTTCCACCCATACTATTTCTATGAGGTCCCTTCTACAAATTATACTCTGTTTAACCCTGGAATAAGTACATAAGTCTAAATTTGAACTATAAAAATCAGCCTTTCAACAAATGCTAAAATACATGTTTCTCTCCAAATAGGTGAAACTGTGTACAAGCACATGTTAAGAGTATTTTATCACAGCATCACAGACACAGTTCCACAGTCCCTGAGAGACGGGGAACTGTGAAAGAAAGGTCAGAGTCCCCACTCAGCAGGCCACTGAAACCGGAACCAGAACTGAAACCAGAAACATGGGTCCTGGACAACCTGCAGCTGACAGGAACTTACAGTGCCTCTGGTGATTTCTCCTGTGTTTTTCAAGAAAGAAAATCATCCTCTACCTTCGCTTATAGGAACAATAGCAAATGAGCCACCTATTTTGTATTTTTAACTAAAAGTAAAGCGAAGTGCTAGGAAAATATCACTTGAATTTACAAAGAAAAATCTAGAATAATCTAAAACTGCTATACAATGGCTGGACTCATCAAGAATGCTCTCTGAAGGTGAGAGAGCATATCTGCATGGGAATTACCACAGGACGCTGTTGGAAAGCAAGCATGCATGCCTGGACTGACCATTTCAAACATGGTGGTGGGAATGCATTAGCCTGAGTGGCTTCCAGACAGTCTTCCCAGGAAAAATTTTCTGGATCAGGATATCCTTAAAAACTATATATATAACATTGCTCATAGATTCCCATATACTACAAAACATTTGCTAACACTATTATCTAAATCCCTCACTATTTATCAGGCTCTAGGTTGATCATTGGTCAGTTTTCCTTCACTGTGACAAAATACCTGACATGTACAGTTTAAAGAAGGAAAGGTTTATTCTGGCTCACGGTTTCAGAGGTCTCAGTCCATGGCTGGATGGCTCCAAGGCAGAAACCCCACGGTGGAAAGGCGTATTAACTTCAAGCTGTGAACACTGACCATCTTTCCAATGTTCCACATTAGTAGGTTTTTAGTCTCATTGTTAAATCTGTATTATTAACTCGAAACCATGAACACTATCATTCCAATTCCTCCAATATTTTGTATCTAGTAGGTTTTTAGTCTTATCATTAAATCTGTGTAACTAAAATTAACCAACATTGCTATTTATCACTGAAATTTAAATTGGGGTTGCAGTTTCGTGTTAGAGCACTTGCCTAGCAAGCACAAGGTCCTGTGTTTGATCCCCAAAACTGCACAAAAAAAGGTAAAAAAAATTCTTATTTTTAAATTTTCTAATTGGTTTTTACCAGATACTTATCTAAACTGTGTTATTCTCTTACCTTTCCAAGGAAGAATTGCCTGCATTCCTCAGCTGTTTTCTTTTTCCTTTTCTAATTTTTTTTTTTTTTTTTTGCTGTTTTAGTCTTATTATTTCCTACTTCCCTTAGGTTTACTGTATGTTTGTTTTCTCAGAGGAAATTATAAATATAATTTATTTTCATTTCTAAAAAATGATGCAAATATTTAAGAGCATGAACCTGTTGTTGTTGATACTGACTGCAACATTAAGACAGCTGAACTCATGTCTATGCACAATATAACGTATTTTTTCTCACTTTTACATTACAAAACTATAATTATAATCTGTCTATTTTGTCTTGATTTAATGGGTCATCATATTTCATTTAGGAGCTATTTCAAGTAGCTAGTTTTTACAGTTACTAAAAATATTAATAATACTGACTTCACCACACTGTCATTTCAGAATGACACGTGGTGTGAACAACTTCTGTTTCAGGACATGGGGATTTCTTTTCAGTGAACCCCAGAATCAGTGGAAGAGTTTTAGTGCATGTACATGTGCATGTGTATCTTGGAAGGCTTAATATTAATGAATATAATCCAGCTGTGTTATTCAAGAAATCTGGTTTCCCAGTATTTCTGATAATTTTTCCTTTAGTTTTAAACTTTTTACTCAACTGAAATATATTTATGGAAAACTATATACATCAAGTAGATAGCCTGAAAATTCTTCCCAAAACTGGAATACCTCTGTGAGCAGATGGATATCAAGCCAGACCATCACTGGAGCCACATCGACTCATCCTCTTCCCCACCCTGTCCCCTCCATTCCCTGCACCCCGCTTTTCCAGAGATCCTGCCCAGGCTTCTAGACTGGCAACTGACTTAGCTGCTTCTGTTTTCCCCTTTATGTAAATGGTTCAACAGCAAATGCTTCTTAGCGGGGAGTGTCTTTTGCTGAGTCTTCTGACTGTTGAATGCAGAGTGTTCACTTTCAGGGCTGTGTAACATTCCATCACACGAGCGTTTCATGATTGGCTAACTAGTCTGCATATGATGGCCCTTTGGGTAGTTCTCTTCTGGTGGCCGTGTGCACAGGGCTGCTCTGAACATTCTAGTGTGTTCTTCGAGAGACCAGAAGCGTACGCTTCTGTTAGACTCCATCCAGGAGGGAAATGGTTGGATCATGGATGTTTTGCTTCATAGTTTTTTACTTCTTAATTATTTCCTTTTGCATATGTCTATTTTAAACACCTTCTAAGTGGATTTTTAGCAGAAGTTACATTTACTTTTCTAATTTATTTTAGCTTCTGTAAACATGTTTTAAACTAAATTTAAAAAAAAAACTGTTGTGCTGGGTGTAGTGGCACACGCTTGTAATCCAAGCACTCGGGAGGCTGAGGCAGGAGGATTGTTGTAAGTTTGAGACCAGTCTGGGCTACAAAGTGAGCTCAAGGCCAGCCTGAACTGCATATCGAGAGCCTGTCTCAAAAAGACAAAATAAAATAACATGAAATAAAAATTTAAAAAAACTGTTGAGGTTTCCCTTGTATCTGTCCTTTTCTGCATGAGCTACACTATATAGCTTATGCTTCAATAGTTATTTCTGCAGCTGCATTATTTTTTCTCACTCCTATGTTTATGAATGTTCCAAAGCCACTCCATATTCTGGGTCTCCACCTTTCTCTGGGCTCATGATGCACACGCACCCCCACCCCTGCAGCAGCGGGTTCCTTGCCTGAGTGCCTGGCCACAAGATTCAGCAGAGGGAGGGCAAGAAACCAGCGTGCAGAGAGGTGAAGAATGGCAGTGTGGTGAGCGACAGAGGCAGCCATGAGTCCCGCCCAGCCTTGTGGAGGGACCTCGCGTGCTGCTGGGAAAGGCACTGGCCTTTTGTCCCCTTTTCAGAGTGGAAATAAAGGGCTGGAACATCTTACATGGCTCTTGGGCAGCCCCTGTCTGTGTGCCACCTCCAGGATGAGCTATGTACATGCAGAAAGGGACAACCTGCTCTACCCTATGTTCAATGAACCCAAGTAGCAGAGAAATGTCTTTGGCTCTGGAGTCTTGCAAAAGTCACCTTCTCCCACAGTCTGCCTCCTGCCCAGGCCTGGGCATGCTCAGCCTTGGAAGACTGGAAGTAGGGGTACATAGCAAAATGCTGGGACTAGGGCCCTCACACTGCTGTGTGGCAATACCATAGGAGA